CGGCAGTTTGACACCCCTGTTATATGCAGAAACATGTATGAAGACATGTTGTAATGGCCAGATGTATCTGAAAAGTTACTTAACCAAAACAAGGTGATAAAAATACCGATCACCTTACAAAAACATACAAACTGCATAGAGATGCCTCAGTACAGGTAAGATTGACATGATAGGACATGCTAGAGTAATATAGCATTGAAAAAAATGGATAGCTTTCCCATCAAGCCTGCTCAAAATTTTAATCCAAGTTCATGTTTTAATCTGAGGAATAATGTGAGAGTCGTAAATATAACCATCTACACTAATACAGGAAAGAGATAATGCAGGTAGAAGAATCCTTGTTTCACAGAAAATTGTCCCTGTCACACAAACTAATTATCAGTGGATGTTTAATAAAAAAAATACAGTGTGCAGTGATGTTTAGGAAATTACATCATAGAGGATTCTTCCTAATGCAGGTGATGCTGCATTTCCATCACAGGTAACTTCCTCCCGATGTGAGGGTTATACCTGTGACCGTCTTCAGCATATAACCTCTGAAACAGAGCCACCTAAAATACAGCCCCTTTCAATCTGCCCCACTATAAAATCATAATTTCCATGAGATCACAGGAGGAACTATTCAATGTTTTTCAATGTATTTAATTACATTTTAATCGATTCTTCTGTAGCTGATATTTTGATCCATGCTCACTTTTTCCCATTTCAGTCCCATTTTGGATTTCAGGTTGCACAGTCTGGATGGAAAGAATCTATCCAGAAGGAACATAGAACTGTGACAGGTTAAATCAAAAACATTTTCAATATAAGATTAGCTTTATACAGCAATCATAAGGAAGACTTAACAGATTTCTTTTAATCAAAAGCATAAGCAATAATTGACTTGTCCTTGTTTAGAGTGCCAATATTCTTTGTATCTTTGCAAAATAATGGTTAGGGTTGAAGGCTGTGAGATTTGAAGGCAGACTTTCTTAGCTGAAGCATATCCATCCTCATGGTTTTGGATAACAGATCTCATAATCCACAATTACCATGGAAAGTGGGTGTAGTAGTTAGAAAACAGGAAAGCCAATTGAAAAGCATTTCCCCACGCAACTCCCTACTACTATAATAGCTGCTGTAACACGGAAAGATGATTTCAGTTCATAAGCTATATGGAATAGAAAGGGGGGAAAAGCACTAGTTTATTTCAGACTGTAGTCCCTCTAGTCAACAATAGCTTTTCAACTATGATCTGAAGTGGCCTGCTCTAGACTCATATTTGGAATTTGGATATAAATACTGAGATTCTTTGGAAAAAAAAATACTGTTCAGATTTCCAGTTAGTTAGACCATTTATTTAATTCCAATTTACATTTATTTTCAGGAGCAATCCAACCATGGTTCTTTATTCATTCAGAACTAACATAAAACTGTTCGGGAAGCACCAGATCTACAAATTAATCTGTCCAGCCATGTGAGCAGATTGGCATTTCTCAATTCTTCCCAATTCTTAAATATTATTTGTTTAAAAGCAAATTTGCAAATAAATAAAAATTCAATCAAATGTAGGCATACATAATTAGCTTCTAAATTGTTTTCATCCTTGGTCACTATTATCAAAGTTAAGATGCACAGTCAGGGTATTTTCCATCCATTCTCTTGTCCAGTGCTTTTTTTATATATAAAAAATAGGTGCCGGAACCACACAAGTCATACAACCCACCTTGCTTACCCTACAAGGTTCTATCCCAAAAAGGTGCCGGAACACCATTCTGGGCATTCTATGAGAAAAAAAAGCCCTGCTCTTGGCACAAAAACTGGAATGAAGGCAAAGGAACGGGAGAAGCAAAAGCTGTACGCTCCATACAGTTTCATACTGTACAAGGTTCTTTGGGGCATTATAGTGATCATGTTGGGTTTAATATTTAAGGTTGCCGTGGCTTTAAATCTAGTGATGTTAGATTTGAGAAAGCTGATGTAAGGCCACAATGTAAAAGACCTCACACAAAAAACAACTGTTTTAAAACTGACCAGGAAATCTTCGGTATGGATTTATATTGAAAAGGTAGTACTGTAATGATTTCAACATGGGCACTCAAATGGTAGTGAAGTGTCCATCAAAGTGTTCCTTACACTTTAGTAGGGAAAGAGAAAATAAATAATTGTCAGGGTTTTTTTTTCTATGCATGCCGAAACCTGCTTCTATAATTGAACACTTTTTATTATGTGTGGTATTCGACAGATGTCAAAATGCTTATCTTTATAAAGAATCTTTTATTTCATTGAACGTTATGAGACTTTGACTCTCCATGGGCTACACCGAGTTATCACTTTGGCTTAACGGTCTCATTTTTGTTTGATAAATGAAGTACACTTCTTAACCGCAGGGCAAATCCTTGAAACTTAGGAAAAACAAATGTAACTGTAAAATCACATTTATCACAAATGCAATTTGGTTTTCTTTGTTTCCCGGTATCATGCAACAGTGACAATAATATTTTGAACACATGTTATTGCTTAGTGTGTGGAAACAACCTGCTTTAGGATTATAAATGTCTAGAAATAGTATCTGATAAACATTGTTCCAATCAAAAACATTCACTTTTCCTAGACGGCAAGCCTACATAGGTACAATAAGACTTATTCCCCAAAAGTGGATGCAAATTTGCAGCTGTAGAGATTGTTTTATGCTAAATGTTATAGAAATGCTATTAAAATGCAGGGCTCTTTGAACCTGTATTTTAAATGCCTAAAATTTCCAATGCAATTCTAAAGACCCTAATATACAAATAAACACCCAGTTATGTGGAGTTAACTTTGTGACCCACAGTGTTCAGTTACTTGACTGATTCAGTTTTGAATATTATAGATAAATAGCTCCCTCCTGTGAACACTACCGGAAGTACACTGAAGAAATACATTATATTCAGGGATGATAAACCTTACATCACCAAGCAATTTATACTTGTATGCAATCTTCAGGGCTACCATATCTGAATGCAAAAAAACCTCCAACGCATCATTAAAATGGCAGCAGAAGATACAGAATACTCTGACAATGCCATCTAGTGTTGGATTATCAGCCAGATATTAGACTGGATTTGGCATTTTTGT